TCTAATATCTTCTGTTGTTTATTATGAGTTATTTCGTTTGTTTCTAGTAACCTAACGATATTCTTTTCTTTTTCTTGTGTTTTTTCACTAAAGTTTATTATAAGATCTATTATAGTATTGTATTGCTTATCTTCTGAATGTAAAAGGTGTTCTCCTTGACTAAAATTGCACCTTATTACTGAATTTTCTTTTAATATTCTGTATTTCTTTTCAGGGTAAATTCTTAAGTCTAGATATTCTAATTGCTTTAATGAATCTATTCTTGCTATTTTATCTAATTAAACTCATATTCCTATGTTTTTAAGCTAAATATAAAGTTCTGTTTTTCCAATTTTGTTTTTCTATTCTTAGTTCTTTTATGTAGTGGTAAATTCTAGCTCCTATTGTAGGTATCTGCGAATCTAGCTGTCTAATTCGTTCGTGTATAGAAGTTATTTCTTGTATTGTAAGAACGTCTGAATACAATTCTATTTGTTCTATATATAACTGTTTTTGTTCAATTAAGTGGTAGTATATGTCTGAATAATTTTGTCATATTTTTAATAGGTACCAAGATATTATTATTTTTATTCCAAACCTCTATAATCTTAGAAACGATACAAGAAATATAAACCTAATTCTATAATATTAGAATTATTAATCTTGACTTCTAATCAGGCGATTGTGGGTTCGTGTCCCACCGGGTGTGCCAGAGTAGGATTTACAAAATTATCTGAATTTCTGCTGCATTTTGTTGTTATTATTGCCAGCTAATTTTATTACTACTTATTAGTGCCAGCTAATTTATTATTAGACTTTCAAGATATTTTTATTTTGATATTATTATTGGTATCAGAGCAAGAAGTTTTTGGGAACTAATTACTTGATGAGAAGACCGCTACGAAGTACTATAATACATTTAGAAACAAAACGAAAGTTGAAAAGCTTATACCTTGAATATAAGAGACTAAATAGTACTAAAGAAGACAATATAAGGCTAGATTACCTAATAGAAATAATATCTAGATTAGAATATAAGTTTATTACACAGTTAAAAGCAAGACAGAAATAATATATGAAAAAACATCCTTTTGCTAATCAATTACGACTAGGATATTGGTATCTATACAGAGAAATACAAATAAAGTCAGAATTGTTAAAAATAAAACAGGCTATAAGTATATACTTACAAGTTTTAGAAACACGAGATTTAGCAGACAGACTTTGTAAACACGGAGGCTTATACTCAATAAATAGACAAACACTAGTCAACCCAGAATTATTAAGTGCTCTACAGTGGGAATTATATAGTATAGATAGTGATATTCAAAACGCAAATAGACGCATAAGTACTCAGCGACAAAATATAAACAACCTAACTTTCCATTTAGGATAAATATACATGCCCTCTAGAATATACAAGAAAAGTTTTAGACCATACGAAAAACAGATTGTCATTGATCAAGAAAATCATTGGTACCTATTAAAAATAAGACAAAATTATTCAGACATATACTACCACTTAATTGAACAAAAACAGTTATATATAGAACAGATAAAATTATATTCAGACTTTCTTTCAACACAAGAAATAATTTCTATACACGAAAGAATTAGACAGATAGATTCGCAAATACCTACGATAGGAGCTAGAATTTGCCATTACACAAAAGAACTGAGAATAGAAAAACTAAATTGGGAAAACAGAACCTTATATTTAGCCTAAAAATATTATAGGAATAGGTAAATTAGCAAGAATAGATTCATTAAAGCAATTAGAATATCTAGACTTAAGAATTTACCCTGAAAAGAAATACAGAATATTAAAAGAAAATTCAGTAATAAGGTGCAATTTTAGTCAAGGAGAACACCTTTTACATTCAGAAGATAAGCAATACAATACTATAATAGATCTTATAATAAACTTTAGTGAAAAAACACAAGAAAAAGAAAAGAATATCGTTAGGTTACTAGAAACAAACGAAATAACTCATAATAAACAACAGAAGATATTAGA